GCGATGAGGACGTGAGTAAGCTACTGGGGGTTGGTTGACGCAGTAATTGAGATACGTTATGACTCCAATTCCTGTAGGACACCTCCACAGGCAGACTTGGGACACCGAATGACGCGGAAACCGCGGAAATGCAACTACCTTACGTACTGTGCCGAGCAGTCACAATCATCCGGGCAAAAGGGATCAGATAAGGCGCCTTGTCTCAGTTGATTCGCTAATATGGCCAGTGATTTGACGTTCATTACCCGCTAAGCATGCGAGTACCACGCTAGCGCGATATGAACCACGGGAGAAATGCAATCTCCTCACGATGCCCCTTTTTTCATTTGCGCGCTGGGCAGAAGTGCTTACACCTTAGTCAATTGAGACAATGCACCTGCTAGATAGTAGACACTTTATACAGGCACTCGAACAGAAGCATTCCTTTCATGTCATCACCATGGATCAATATCTTGCCAGTTGCAACATTTCGGGTCGATTCGATCACGGCCAAGTCGCCAAGAAAGCTTTTGCGCGGGCACACGAAACCCGAAGGGTCCACCGGAACCACAGGCACCCATTCGCCTTATAGGGCTGGGGTGTTTTCGTCCAAACACGGCCCACTAAGGCTTAGGTTAGTCCGAGGGAGATTTGTGGGTGCCGACAATCCGTGGCAGAATAATCCCTCACCCGATGACCTGGCTTGTTGGCAAGTTTTGTTGGATATATTTAAGACACGCCGGCCCGGGATCGATCTTATCTGATGCCACCTATCTGATCTGATAACTTTCCATGGTCCTGGTCTTATTCAGCTGTTGATTTTGGTGCGGAAATGGCCACCGACACCAAAGATGGTCTCGACAAGGAGAGTGTCTACCCTGTCGAGGATACCGACCGTGGTGAGTTTGAGTTTTTCTGCTTCAACCCCTGCCCCTGCTGTCGCTGCTAACACAACCACCAGCCGAGGTAGATTCCCAGACCGAAGTACTACGGGCGGCAGGCATCGGTATCCACGAAGATGACCCAACAGAACCTATCCTGACGCTGAGAATGTGGGTTCTCGGTATAGGATTCTGTATTGTGGCCAGTGGGTTGAATACCCTTTACACCCTTCGAAAACCATCCATCACAATATCCTCTTCGGTGACTTTGCTGCTGGCGTACCCGCTAGGCAAGCTGTGGGAGAAGACCCTTCCGAGCTGGGATGTCAACCTCGGCGTGTGCCGATTCAACCTGAATCCCGGACCGTTTAACCAGAAGGTGAGCAATGAATAGCCGTACGCTTGACTTATCGTCAAACCTGTCCTAATAGGTACTCGATATAGGAACACGTATTAGTATACATCATGTCGAACCTTAGTATCTACGTCCGACTAGGAGCAGACGTCTTGACGGAACAACAGATGTTCTACGGATACAAAGCCGGCTGGGGCTTCCAGATCTTGATCACATTGGGAACATTCCTGGTCGGCTTCTGCCTGGCTGGCTTCTTTCGGTCCGTGGTAGTGGCCCCTAAGGAACTTATCTGGCCGGGTGTGCTGAGCACGACTTCGCTCACGACAACGTTGCACAATTTGGCTCAAGGGGATCTACAAGGAGTGTAAGTATGCTTCTGCTATATCCCGGAAGAAATCAAAGGTCTAATGAGAAGTAGTAAGGATACGTGGAAAATGTCTCGTTACGCATTCTTCAGTCTTGCCTTCTGCATCTCCTTCTGCTGGTACTGGTTCCCGGATTTCATCTTCCCAGCGCTGAGCTATTTCACATTTCCATGCTGGATCAACCCCAAGAGCACAGTGGTCAATCAACTTTTCGGCATGGAGAGTGGTATGGGTTTGCTGCCTATCACGTTTGACTGTAAGTACCTGTCCATGACTGTGCCACGGCCAGGCTAATACCATGCTAGGGAGTCAAATCTCCTACGTCGGATCACCACTGCTGATCCCGTCGTGGGCAATCATCAATGTTTTCTCCTCCCTGGTGTTCTGGATCTGGATTGTCGCTGTCGCTTGCTACTACCGCAATGTATGGTATACAGGCTATCTTCCTTTCCAGAGCTCGTCAGGTATGAAACTTGCCGTCTGCCCCGGCATATCCTCATACTAATCATCTCCTCCTCAGTCTATGATAACACCGGCGCCACCTACAAAGCATCCAAAGTGGTCAGCAAAGCGACCGGCTACAAACTGGACATCGAAAAATACAAGGCCTATTCTCCGGTATGCCACCTTGCTACAGTTACATCTCCACGATCCCTACTGACTCAAACACTTCAGGTCTACATGCCCGTAACCTACGCCTTGAACATGTTCGGTCTATCATTCGCAACCTTGAGCTCCCTCCTAGTCTGGGTGATCCTCGAGAACCGCCACGACATAGCCGCAGGCGCTCTGCGAGTCCCGCATGTCGTGCGCAGCTATTTCTCCAAGGACAAGAAACACACTGACACCAACTCGGGACACCGCGATGTCCCGTTCCTATGGTACCTCGGTGCTGCCGTACTGGCACTATTTATCTGCATATTCAGCGTGGAATACTGGAACGTCGAACTGCGATGGTACGGTGTCTTGCTGGCTTGCGCAGTAGCTATGGTCTTTTACGGCCCGGTAAGTGTATCCCTATACCATCCACTAATAGTTCAAAGGTTAATAATAAACCAACTACGCAGCTCGCAATCGTATACGCGACATCCAACCTAAAAATCAACATCGATATCTTCTGCCGCATCGTCGCCGGCTTCGTCTTCGAAGGCAAAGTCCTGGCTAACATCTGGTTCTTCGACATCGGCTACATCACCACCATCAAGGGCCTCTACTTTGCAGAGGATATGAAACTCTGCGATTACTGCAAGGTACCATCCCCCACCTGCTCCTACCCATCACTTACCCACCGATATCCCTAAATACTAACATAATCCCTAGATCCCACCCCGCAAAGTCTTCATCGTCCAATGCGTCGGCATGATCTTCGGAACCCTCAGCTCCGTCGCCGTCCTAAACTGGAGTCTGGGCAACATCAGCAACGTGTGCACCAGCGACGCCGTCAACGGCTTCAGCTGTCCCTTCTCGAGGACAAAATTCAACACGAGTCTCATCTGGGGCGCCATCGGCCCACGCCACTACTTCACCAACGGCATCGGCTACAGCTCCTTACTCTACTTCTTCATCATTGGCGCTGTCCTCCCCATCCCCGTCTACTTCCTCAAACGCCGCTACCCGAATTCCCTCTGGCGGAGAGTTCATATCCCGCTGTTTCTGGGCGGGTTGAATTACCTTCCTCCGGCGACGGGGACGAGTTATGGCAGTTGGGCTGTTGTGGGATTGACGTTTGGGTGGTGGATTCGGAGGAGGGTGTGGGGGTGGTGGTATAAGTATAATTTTGTGTTGAGTTCGGCGTTGGATTCGTCGGTGTCGATTGCTGGGGTGGTGATTTTCTTTGCGGTTTATTTTAGTGGGGCTAGTAAGGGGTTTAGTTGGTGGGGGACGGAGGTTTATAAGGTATGTTTTTTCTTCATTTCTTTTTAGTTGTTTTGGAAGGGGGGAGGTGGCTAATGAGGGCTGTGATAGGATACGTGCGATTATAAGGGGTGTTCGTATTTGGCTGTGCCGGAGGGGGGGAAGTTTGGGGTTTGAGGGGTTGAGGGGTTGTATATATGTAGTAGGTGAGAGGGTTGGGGTTGGTGGGGGATTAGTGGTTGCGCGTATTATATACGGCTGGTTGAGGTAGCTGTACATATTCAAGATGTATTATTGATTATAAGTGATCCTATAAGTAAACTTTTTGGAGTCCAGTGCTGGATAAAGGTTGAAATGCTCTGGCGGGATGAGAAGCATTTGGTAGAGATTAGATTCAACCGAACACCGTCTTAATACTTTAACGACTATTTTGTGTTTGTTGTTGCCCATGCACGATGTGCAAAATAATCTATTTGATTCTTGTTTAGGCATCATATGTACTGGTCGCGCGCCTGTTTAGGGATACACGTCGATCGACGTCGCTGTGGACTTGGCGTGCAGGTGCAGGGTCAATAGGATTAAACGTGGAGATGTATTTACCTGCTCTCCTTCAATGTTATAGTAACAAAGAGTGCTTGTTAATACAATAGGGTGTCTAATGCACCGTTAGTGGTAAGCTGATGGGAAAGGAGACCCTACTATGTTGCTGAGTGGTGAGGTTTTTTCCTTTCAATTCCTATGTGTAGCATGACACAGAACATAGACTACCTTGCTATTTCCACACGTGCTCAATTCCTGGTCGCCATTGCGTGAGACAGATTGCATCCCTGTCAGCCCTGTCAGCCCTGTTGTGTGTTAGCAAGTTCTGGTAGCTTTCGGGAGGACGTCATGTCCACCATCATATCAGTCCAGTCAGGCACCACGTGCACCAGGGAGTGGTAGACCTTGGGTCCAACGGATATAAGCATTTCGCGAAGTGTATGTGGAAACCAGGCATGCGTCTCGTTATTGATAATGCTTAGAATTGCCTGATCCAATGCGGAGAAGAGAGTTGGAAACAGGAAGAATCTCATTGCTGACCACCCCCTCAACACGTGCCGGGATGCTTGTTGGGTGAATATCAGTGACCAGCCAATCATAGCGCTGGGAGTCAGCAGGCCCCACTGGGATGGGAATATGGGTGCCTGAGGACAAGGTAGTACTGACCAATCGCTGGGGCGGAAATGAGGCACATGCTGGATTGTTAGCGATATCTTCAGTGGCGATGGAGTTGAAGCTGAAGCTCTCCACTCACTGCCTGGTCCCCTGCTCAGTTTAGTCTCTCCGCTGTCCTCCGGTCGCAACTAGCCGACCTGGATCGATGCATCGCCGCTCCCCGTCGGCTCCTCCGAAGCCAATTGTTGCCCGGCCTATCTACACGTGTGATCCCTTGCCTCGCTGCGTTTGCTATCGCGACCTGGAGATAAACATGTCGGTCGCGGGGGATATAAACCGGTCGGGCGGCCCCAGAGTTGTGCCCCGATCAGCCAAGAATCTTCTCTGCTTGTCACCTGAAAGCACACGACCATGAAGGGAACTGCTGCTTCTGCCCTGCTTGTCGCTCTCTCCGCGACGGCCGCCCAGGCCCGTCCGGTGGTCGACGAGCGTTTCCCCTACACTGGACCTGCCGTCCCGATCGGCGACTGGGTCGATCCCACCATCAATGGCAATGGCAAAGGTTTCCCTCGTCTGGTTGAACCCCCGGCCGTCAAGCCGGCCACCGCCAATCCCAGGAACAACGTCAATGTGATTTCCCTGTCCTACATCCCCAAGGGCATGCACATTCACTACCAGACCCCCTTTGGTCTGGGCCAGCTGCCTGCTGTTCGCTGGGGTAAGGACCCTCGCAACTTGAACAGTACTGCGCAGGGCTACTCCCACACGTATGTACACCACTCCTAGTTGGTATTGCCGCGTGCTGATGGATTCAGATACGACCGCACTCCCTCCTGCTCACAAGTCAAGGCAGTCACCCAGTGCAGTCAATTCTTTCACGAGGTTAGCATTGACGGTCTGGAGCCCGACACCACCTACTATTACCAGATTCCCGCCGCCAATGGCACCACCCAATCGGATGTCCTCAGCTTCAAGACTAGCCGTCCTGCAGGTCACCCGGGCTCGTTCAGCGTCGCTGTGTTGAATGATATGGGATACACCAATGCTCATGGCACACACAAGCAGCTGGTCAAGGCTGCCACTGAAGGAACTGCGTTCGCCTGGCACGGAGGTGACCTCAGTTACGCCGATGACTGGTACTCTGGCATCCTAGCTTGCGCCGACGACTGGCCGGTCTGCTACAACGGCACCAGCTCAACTCTTCCCGGTGGTGGACCTCTTCCAGAGGAGTACAAGAAGCCCTTGCCAGCGGGCGAAATCCCCGACCAAGGTGGCCCGCAAGGTGGTGATATGAGCGTGCTGTATGAGTCTAACTGGGATCTCTGGCAACAGTGGCTCAACAACGTCACTCTGAAGATTCCTTACATGGTCTTGCCTGGTAACCACGAAGCCTCGTGCGCCGAGTTTGACGGTCCTCACAACATCCTCACTGCTTACCTGAACGACGACATTGCCAACGGCACTGCTCCCACTGATAACCTAACCTACTACAGCTGCCCGCCTTCCCAGAGGTAGATATTTTCTCCCCTAATCCTAAGGTGTAGTGGCTAATTGTGACAGAAATTTCACCGCTTACCAGCACCGCTTCCGCATGCCCGGTCCCGAGACCCGCGGTGTCGGCAACTTCTGGTACTCTTTCGACTACGGTCTTGCTCACTTCGTCTCCATCGATGGTGAGACCGACTTCGCCAACAGCCCTGAGTGGAACTTTGCCGAGGATGTGACCGGCAACGAGACCCTGCCCAGCGAAAGCGAGACCTTCATCACCGACAGTGGTCCGTTCGGTAACGTCAATGGTAGTGTCCACGAGACCAAGTCCTACGAGCAGTGGCACTGGCTGCAGCAGGACCTGGCCAAGGTTGACCGCAACAAGACCCCATGGGTGATAGTCATGAGCCACCGTCCTATGTACAGTTCTGCCTACTCCTCGTACCAGCTGCACGTGCGCGAGGCGTTCGAGGGTCTGCTCCTCAAGTATGGAGTTGATGCCTACCTTTCTGGGTGAGTGCCAGTGTTGCAAAGGTACCACATTTCCCGCTAACAAACTCAGTCACATCCATTGGTACGAGCGTCTCTATCCTCTGGGAGCCAACGGCACCATCGATACCGCCGCCATCGTCAACAACAACACGTACTATGCCCACAACGGCAAGTCCATCACCCATATCATCAACGGCATGGCCGGCAACATCGAGAGTCACAGCGAATTCAGCGACGGCGAGGGTCTGACCAACATCACCGCCCTGCTGGACAAGGTCCATTACGGCTTCAGCAAGCTGACTATCTTCAACGAGACTGCTCTCAAGTGGGAGTTGATCCGTGGCGATGATGGCACTGTTGGTGACTCGCTGACCCTTCTGAAGCCGTCCCATGTTGCCGGTGGTAAGAAGTTCCACGCTTGAACTGTGATCTTCTTTAAAGCACGGTAACTGCTAATGACAATACTGATTGATGTGGTATGAGATCCAAATGTTTGGAATGTAATTATGGTGGGAAAATGTGTGCATGTATATGACAAAAGTACTTAGTATATAATAGATCGCTTGGGTTAATGCATCGTCGTCAAGTAGATTTTGCTGTCTCTTATAGTTCCTCGTATCACCTCCTTTCTATGAATAAAAGTCACATGTTGGATTGTCGAGCGATGCGATTGCCAGGTATGGGAGGAGCACTGCGTTGCATCAGGTGACACTATCACAGCATCGTAAGTACTGCGTCCGCCATACTTACATCTGTAGATAAGCCAATACTGGTATCACTTGTACCTTTCATGTCTCCTTACTCGATATTACTAGCTTATGCAAATCAATGAACCCCAATAAGCCACTCCTTCCTACTAGTCCTCCGCAGGAGAGTATACTACTATACCTGGCCTCTACAAGACATCGGAATGACCCAGGCGATATTATCTCACTGCTCAATAATCCAAGCAGACTCTATCTCTGCCAGAGATGGAATGGCTCTCGCCGTGCAGAAGCAGGATATTCCCAGAACTAATGCTGTTGAGACGCAATGTTCCTTGACTATCATGATAATATCCAGCATGAATACAGCACTATCTTCAACTATAAAAGGCAGAGGGGATAGACATGGTATATGACCTTTTATTATCACCGGTGTGTCACACAACGGACTGGTTTTTCGACTACAGTCCTTCACCTTGATTCGCAATGGACGATAAACCTACGGCAGCTAGTTGGAATTCCAACGAAATGTCTCCCTCGTCTATCTTTTTTGAGGAAGGTCATCCATCCCATTATCCAATATCAGTTGCATCCGATGCGGGAAATGAAGCGGATACTGAAGCGGGTAACGAAGCGGATAATGAAGCGTCGTCCCTTCTTCATTCACGCATGAGCGATGATGACCCACCTGAGGAATATCGACCACCAGGCCAATACACGATAACATCCTATGAGTATCAAGGGGACGAGTATCACGGGCAAACGGATACATTTATCATAGGATCGGACGCAAGTAACATTCTCAAGGAAGCCGATCCTCCAATCCCCTGTGTGCTGTGGGGTATCATGTTAAGATATATCTTCGAACATGAAATCAATGATAGTAGCGTACGTCTAGTACATGTAACGCGTTATTCTGTACAGAAACTTGTGCTTACCAACGAGGCAGATACCAACTTCAGTAGACCTGGTTGTTGAGGACGAACAGGTGAAAGACGCCATTGAAATCTTGCGCAAGGCTGGGTTCAAAGACGATGACAACTACCCAGGGTGTCCCTACAACGGAGGAGCCTGTCCTGTCAACGAGCTCAAGCCGGTTCACGTTTTCCACTTGTTCGATTCATTCTCTCATACCCGATTGGAGGAGTTAGCAAATGTGACGAAAGGTCCTCAACTGCATCACGATCTAAGACTCCACTGCAAATCCAATGTGTACTGGAAACTTCCCAAGTTCACTGTGCAGACGGAGGCCAACGAGGCGGACGAGAACTTTATGCTATCGTTAGACCGCAGGCTCCGCTGGGAGGGAGTTCACCGACCCAATGTCAAGGACCATCCTCCCACTAAAAACCCCCTGGTTCTGCCCACGCCTGCTCGATTCGCCGAGGCCCTGGTTTACCTGAAGGTGCGAGACGAGCATTTCAAGATAACCGAAATAGACTGGGAGGAGATTTTGAAAGAACATTTCAAGCCAATACTTTACGTAGCTCATTATGGCGCCGTATTCGAGTTGGACGCAAAACGAAAAACCCTCAGCGAGACATGCCGAGAATGGTGGGAATCATGCAGGACTGGGGAATATACCAGCATAACCTCCACGAAACTGCTAGATAAATTGGAGAAAGAGATAAGAGTCGAGATGGGGGTGTCCGGTGAACCAGAGCCCATTCCTCTCGACAGCCATTGGGGACAAGAAAATCCTCCGGATAATAGAACGAGCGTATCACCCCGTGCACCATATTCGACAGATGACGAGGCGGGACCCTTTCGAATGTCCGAGTCCGATAGGGCGGTGGATACAGACGAATAGCTCTAGATACATAGTTATGTGTCCCTAAATCACACATCTTGCTTTTATTGGATCTCTTCGACGAAAATACTGTATGTGAAACACTCGACACTTGTGGTTGACACACTCTGTAGTACGCACCGTACTTAAACTGGAAAGAACTTGTATTTATTTACGTAGACTGGCAACACAATGTCACAGCTCTTTCCCTGTGCCTGGCGTGTGAATTAATATTCATCAGGCAGGAACTATGAAGAGCTGACATTACTACCACATCCTCTACAATATCCTTCTACCACATGTCCCTCTATTTCCTTTACGTCTCTACTACACCTCTCCTAATCGCCATCTTTTGTCACTATCTTTTCATAACATTCATATCTCAATTTCTATACTGTCGTATATGTACCACCATGACAGGACAACAATCCATGTACCAGTTCCTGTTCGAGCGCCCACAAACCCCGATTGTCTCCTACAGATTCGCTTCATCCATCAGCTCTGTTCTCAAAGCCCAGGGTATTCCATGTCTACTATGGGGTGATCTAGCGATGAGGGCTATGGGATATCACAGCATAGCACAAGTACATGCCCTCCTCAACCTTCCCCTCTATCTGCTAACCTCCTTCAGAACCTCGATCTCATACTCGAGGATGAGCACTTGACACGAGCCGCCAACTTTTTCCGCAACTACGAACATGTCCATGAATACCCTTACTTCCTACGCTGCGCCTCAGCCACTGCCACGACCCGTGAATCAGGACGCCCGATGCCTGTCCACCGCTTTCACGTCTACACCCACCCTGAGATTATCATGACGCCATCCCAAGCTTCACAAAGCTCTGGTGCTCGGGGACCAGCAGCAGAACAGGGAGAAATACCGCACATAGACATATGCCTCTACTCCAAGCGGTGGTACTTCCCAGGCAATCCCCCAATCCCGACCGGGATCCCTCGGCCAACAAATCTAAGCTACATGTTGAGTAATGACGGTCGACTACCCCTGACGGGTTATCAGCATGGTCAGCCCAACTTCGGCCGCTTTCCACAAGATATCGCCCCGGTTATAATGGCAAAGCCGGCTCGATATATTGAAACGTTGTTGGTTCTCAGGATCAACTTCGGTACTTGGTCGGAACAAACCAGGTGGTGGAGACTGACTCTTGCTCGGATGACGACCACTGGGTTCGGGAATGGTCCGGATGATGACCCTCAGCCGGTGATGTTTGGGCCGTTGTATGATTCTGAGTGTTTCAGGGAGGAATTTCAGCGTTGGTGGAATTTAATGCGGGCCAGGAATATTGAGGCCGTTTTGGCAGAGGAGGAGAATATGGGGGTTTTGTTGAGGTCGCCCAGCACGCCTGTTGGAGGGCCGTGGGTTCCTCTTTAGTTGTAGGCTACATGCGTTAGTGTTGACTTTTATGGCCTGGTTTTTGGATGTTGACATCGGAGATGCCGTGGTTATGGGACATGTTCGTGGGTGATGTTTATTATTAATGTTTAATGCTTAGGTACTTTGTAGGATAGAGCCACACCGATCTACTGGAATCAGACTGCCTCTTGTTCACAATTTCTTATTGAAATCTCAAACTTCCCACTAAAAGTTTAAGATTATAATCCCTTTGAGCGGTTTAGATCATACAATTCTGGCACTACTGTAAGTGGATCATGCAACCTTAAGCTGTCCCCATCCCTTGTACATATATGTTCCTATCCCCATCATCTAATGCGCAACACTTGGTCAAAGCTACTTATTGATATATAAAGATGCTTCATATATCCCACCCGAACATAGAAGGTGCAACCTCCTAGCCTTCATTTTTCACTCACATTTGCTTCACTTCTCTTTCATATGTTTACCAACCCGCATCACTTGATTGTCTCTGTTAAGCCATATTGAACCGCTATATCCTCCAACAGTGTGAAGAAACGCCTTCTGTCTACCCCAGCCTGGCTATGCTCAAGAACCTCCAACTTCAAGCAAAGCCATCGCCAATCTGAATATTCGTGTAAGGTACTCTGTAACTCACTGAATAGATCAAGATTGAGCCGTAGCTTCCAATAAACTGGAACTGTTCGAGGGATGCCATTTCGGGCTTATGAGTTGCCTTCAAGCATACCTTCTAGCGTAGTAGTGAGATTAAAAAATCTGTCGTCCCCATAAAATAAACAATAGTATATTACAAGTACAACCATCATCATTGTTGTGCCCTTATTTGGCAATTGGTATGTCAGGATATTACAAGAAATACACAAATCAAGCGAGAGCTTCGAGCTCTGTGCCATCTTCTTTGGGCTCATAGCAAGCTTCGAACGGCTTAATACTGAGAGCCTACTTCAATATGTAACATTTTGGTGGCCAGATCCCAACAAAGTTAGGAAATCCTGATTTAAAACCCTCATGCGTCAATACTAATCATTGTGGGCAGGGATGTATATCCTATATGTTGAATGAATGTCTTCATCTCTGGGTTCTGTATAATTCATATTGGATTATGTGGAATATTTTTTTCAATACTGGGCTAGTGAAAGCAAGATGCCGTGATTATGGGACATGTTCGTGGGCGATGTTAGTACTTTTGTTTAATGCTTAGGTAGTTTGTAGGATAGAATATTGAGGCATACCAATATGCTGGGCTCAGAACGCTTTATTTTTGAATCCAACATTCCCAGCAGTGTCAGTGTAGCATGCAACCTTAAGTTATTTCCGCTCCCTGTCCATTCATATCCCTATCCCCACCATCTACTACATATGATCAGAAAGTTCACATTGAAACCACCTAATGACACGCTACGCTACCGTAGCTACCAGATTCACAAACCCATAACATCGCGAGCAAATGCACTTTCTCCTAACCAAGCAATCAGCAGCAATCATGAGACTAGACCAAATCAGTCGAATATATACAGCCCAAGACCAAGAAAGCAAGAATCATAGCTATCCGGAATGTTGATAATGGTTAGATCCTCTTCCAATAATAATCATCATTAACCTTGAGCTAATAGTTCCCGTTCACACCAGAACCATCATTGTGGGTGGTATCAGCTCAATATGAGAGACAGCTACCGCCATACTGGCCAGGCACCCAGGCACCCAGGCTGTCTCCACACCGGCTGGCCTTTGCTCACTCATCTCAGGCCATACCCTCTGCCTACTCTTGAAGGGTAAGGTCTGTTCCCTATAAGGTAAGAGGGTGTTACTAGTAGTGTTCACCCTCTTCTTCTTACTTTGGATGTTTCGGTGCCGGACGAATATTGTATCCGTGAAATGGCAGGCAGGCGGTATGTATGTTTTACAGAAACGCCACCTTCTTTTGGTAGACGATTCTTCACTCCACTTCGTATACTCCTTTCATCCAAAGTCATTCTGACATTGGTGGGCTCTTTCTGATATTATATATACTAGAAAAGCAGCCCGGATGTTGTGCAGTGTTCACCAACTCGCGGACCGGAAACACCAATGGCGAGAAAGGGAATATGTATATCCAAGATGGTTGGACATTTTGCGAATGTAGTACGGTGGGGAGTGGAAGTCCAATCAATGGTGTGTTGATGAGAAGAATCTCCTTCAGCGAGAGGTAGATGCCATCCCGGATTGAATGTACTGGCATAGTTCTTCTCCATTTTGTCAGTTTTGTGGCGGTGTTGAGCCATGAGCATTGGTTAAAGCGCGTAAAAGTAATGATTTGGTTTATATCTAGATGGAACAGCACATAGGGCATACCGGTACAGCCCCCATCCCCTCCCTTTCCCAGCTGATGCGGTGATGTCCGAAGCTAAGCGTCAGAAGGGAGGAGGCACCGTACGTGGTTCCAACGGATGTTTGTTCCGGTGTGATCTGGTTCTATCTTCGAGAAAGGGCCAGCTTGACAGATGGTGGGGATTGCTGTCACTGATCGGACAAGTTGGGATTCTTCAGATATTCTGTGTGTGTAGGTAGGTAGTTAGACAGCATGCAGGTCAATTGACTGTATTTAGTTTCATCTGCATCGGTAAGACATGTCGTTGGTGAAAATGCTGTTTAGTCGTTCGTTCGAGGAAGATGCTGACATCGCTTTCGAGATGTAGATCTATATAATCAGAGATGTGGAGCCAGCACACACCGAACTGATATGGCCGCGTCTTCCTCATTTGCTTCGACACTCTCTGGGATATAGAGCGAAAGTAATAGTTCATTGACAAGTCATCCAGCAACCGCAGCCAGTTAGAGGCTAGACATGATGATATATATAATCATTATCGCCGACAAGGATCGTTGGGATGTAGTCTTTCAAGACACAACGACCAAACAATATATTGTCTATCCTGTTGTAGATCTTGCTGATTCCCCTATATCCCTGACATTCGGAACGAGCACCAAGCCAGAAATAATGGCAGTCTTCTCAGGGATTTCAGCACGCGGGACCGCCCGTTTAATTTGCAAGTGGGTGGGTGGTACAAAGGTGATATCGCAGAAGTTGAAGGTCATTCATTGCTTCTGGATGTAACCCTTCCATTACCGTATATAATTCGCATGGTTCGGGAGTGATGCAAATGACGAATCTACTTTCAAACGACACAGCGGTGTAGAGTCGTTCTCTTAATCCAGTCGCAAACTGTATGGTCTGTATTGTCGTTGGCATGTTTGGCTTCGGATCAGACTTGGCTTCAGGTGTAGGTGAGCCTGTCATTGGGAACCACCATCAATTAGTGCAACACATTGGACTCAGTGTGTATCTATTGCGCCCCTGGACAAGTGGGAATATCCGTGTTCGTGTTTTCAAGCTCCTGTTATGATGGGATGGTGTCTTGCCCGGCTGTTGGTTGAGAAGGGGATGCACATGTCGATCTTCAGTTTGGAGAGGCGCGGAGAGGACAGAGTTACATTACTCTACCACTGTTGTTGTACACTGACATCTGGCGCCAGAGCATTGTTGTTATTTTTTATGTAGATAGGCAGAATGTAGCGATGATGGTGGTCGCAATGACAGACTGCGGCGGGTGGCTTTGTTTCATGGGGCCTAACCAGAAGCAGAATGACATGTTGCGTCGATGTTGATTACAATTGGCTCACGCTGCATTTAGGTCAAGTTGGGCTGGATGCATAGCTCGAATGTGGCCTTTTGAAATGGCCTGTGGGTCAGCTGTTGTATCATCGTCACTGTCCATCTGTGGCGAGAAGGGTATCAACCACATGGTGTTACCATGTGCAGTAATTCGTTGGCAAGGACGCAAGCGAGACATATAGTCAAGCATAGAAGTATAGTCGTCATTGTGCCTCTCAGGGCAGAAGTGAAGTCACCGCATGTCCTTGAGTTTCTCATACATCCTCTTAATCTCCCTCGTAGGTAGCTTTGCTGTAAACGACGATACCCCTTTATATATAATGCTCTAAGGCGTTTGGCGTATAGTTTTGCCTTCTCCAGACCAGACAGCACGACTCACATCGCTAGGAGACTTGCATCAAAAGGAACACCCAGACGAAATAACTGTATCGCTTCGCTTGTGGCTATATGTTGTCAACTTAGCCCCCGATCGGTCATCCATCATTTGATCTCAGGCGCCACCATGGCAGGTGTTTGTAGAGGTATCATTTGTAAGATATTCATCCACGCAGTCACCCCTTTTGAAACAGTCTAGTAACTATCTCTGGCAAGCCCACAATAACTTGGAGGACCAATTGTACGGTACCAATGATCTTGCTATCTTCAGGCTGCAGTAGTTGTCGTTCACGCAGGTAGTGTATGTCCCGGCGGAGTAGCATGAGAACTCGATTGCTGTTGGACTAGTAAACATAGTAACCACTGTCCTTCTGTATATTGCTGGGTTTCAGTGACACCTGATTCTCTGGGTGCCTTTTATATACGGCACCGTCATCATTTTACCACTGCAGAGGATTCTGAGCGCAGCATGATGGACGGGACACGCCTCGATAGACCAAAAATCGTCCACTTCAGCCATTGTAGTCATGGTCTCTGTTTTATACATGCATTATATATTGGGACGTAATATAAACAGTGAAATAGGGGCAGGGTCGAGTAGCCCTGCCCCTAACTATTGCGGTAGAGACGTGAGCGAGAGCTGATTGACTCAAGCCAGATCGAGGGGGTTCCACCTGCCTTATATACTTGTTTTCGACTGTAAAGCCAGCGGGATTTGCCCTCTATAATGACATTGTTAGTCTCGCACTGACTCTGCTCCGGATCTTACCTCCCCAGAAATGACTACTGCTGCAGAGGCAAGCTCATCTATCGGGGGTTACCTCTTGCAGCTACGCAGAAACCCGTAGATTTTGGCATCACTCGGGCATCTTTTGTGCCTCTAACAGATAGGTAGAGATATATTCGTGGAAGGTGGTCGTACTTTACGTCCGGGGAGGTGGATGCCAGTAAGTAGTGTTCGCCTCAAATT